CTCCAGTACTACCTGAGCAGTCCTGCCGGTGTTAATGGACCGGTATGTGTGCCGAGACTTAATTACGGCGACATATCTCGTATGGGCGGTCTGACCACCACCGCCAACACCTCTACCATCAATACTACATACATACCTATTGTCACTGTATTTATCACCCATACGACTACCGCTAACACCGCTACCCCTACCACTGCACCCAACTCTACCAAAATAGTGACCCAGTCCACGAGGTCCGAGTGCTTTGAAAAGGACAACCACTACCCTCCCCAAATGATACCCTGTACGCCACCCACCCCTAGATATACGCTCTCTGACATAAATAATGTGATATCTATAATCATATTGTTTATTATAATGTCAATTGGTTTTATAGTTTTAGTTGTGATAATTTTTTGTTCGAAAATTGATCAAGCTAAGTTGGACCACTATAAAGCAAATCATAACTACGATCTTTCTTCGATTTTAAAAGATTATCTGTTTGATTAGCTTGTTAAAATATATTTTCAAATTATGTGTGTTACACAGTATAATTAAAATTATTATTATACTGTATTTTATTATTTTATAGAATATTCTGTTTGTAAACATTAAAGCATAAATATTATATAAAAATATTATATGAGTGCCGAAAGTGTACAAAAATAATTAATGTGTACACTATAATCAATATATAGCATGTATTTTTACTTTATTAATATATTAAATTGGCGCATAATATAATACTGAAAATACAGTATTAGGTTACACGATTTCATATTTAAAATATTTATTTATAAGCTACATATTTAAAATAGACAATGTATTTTAGCTTCAACGTTTATGTTTACTAATTTACCCGATATAACGACAGTATCTCAATAATATATTACATTTATGTTTATAGAGAATACAGACGTCAAGATAATATTGTTTTATTCAATTAGATAGTATTGCGCAATATATACGATTTTTATTGATTATAAAGTAATATTAAATGATATAAAATAATAAATATAAAATACATTTCAAAGTAATCTTGTACGATACAGCTGACCGATGGGGTTTGTCTAGAGCCCCGACAGTTGGTGGGACAGGTGTTCGACGTCAACCAAGTGTGTGGTTAAGTATAGCCCATGCTATGCCCCACTATGCATTCCGGGACTGGGTGTGCCAGATATTTCATGATATTAACGGTGTTCCCATCAAAACATAACATAGACCCCCATTGAATGCCTCCCAATATAAATATAAGCCTATCTAATTATTTTTAAACTTTTCATTATAATGCATTTTGAGTACATAGTAGTTTATATTTTATATTAAATTGGTTTAGAGTACTATGTATTGTAAATATAGCATGCTAGAAATAAAATTTTGTTTTGTATTTAAAAATATAGATAAATTTTTATTTTTATACATATTATTATTCACTTAAAGTTTAATTCTACAAACTTTAATAAATTCTAGATCGCTTATATTCTTGGTCAGACACATTAATTTAATTGTTAATTGCCTGTACTTTGGATAATAAATCTGATAACACATGCAATAATTCAATCAAAAACTTTGTCAATACATGTGCTGCAAAAATGTTTTGCACATTTTTTAGCTAAAACACGCTATGAAGTAGTTTGAATAAAGGGCAAATCTAAAGTCCCATTGCTTAACATTAGAAAGTACATGTTGTGTTATGTATATGTTGTGTATTATTATACATTGTTTATGAATGGCGAGTGTATTGATTACCAATTAAACAAAATGCGTGTTGCACAGTTATTTACTGAATAAATATTCTGGATATATTATATCCATTTTATTAAACTGTTTATTCAATATTGTTACTAATCTTGATATTTAATGTAATTTCAACATATCCTATGTAATAATATACACTAGCAATTTACAGTATATCCTAAAATATTGTAATTTATAATCATTTATGCAAACATTTTCAAGAATATTCTTTAATAAAATTATATTTACCATAACATAAAATACAATGTAATAATTATGATTATAATAACAGTTTCAATGTAACTTTCACAGAATATTCTAATCAACATTTTATTTACATTGTGTTCAATGACTGAAACTCCAGACAATAACCGGGTGTTCACCACAAGTCATAGTAATATGTGTTTACTATACGTATTAATGCTAGCATTCGGTACACAACTCGTGGATCTGATCACAAGTCATGCCATTCAACGCAAATACATGACATGTGACCTGAACTCCTACCCTAAATACGGATGCGACCGCGAGTTGGGACAGGTATGCGACCCCATCACCAACCGGTGTGTCTGTCCCCCGACTCACACTATACAGCAGAATGACGGGGTATGTCTAGAGCCCCGGCAGTTGGGCCACCGGTGCTCTACGTCAGCCCAGTGTGTGGTAAAGCATAGCGCGTGCTATGCATCGCACCCGGCGTTTTGGGACTGGAAGTGCCAGTGCCTGCACGAGTACTACCTGAGCAATACTACCGGTGCTAATAAGCCGACATGTGTGCCGAGACTTAATTATGGCGACATATCTCGTATGGACGGTCTGACCACCACAGCCGCCAACACCACTATCATCAATACTACGCACATACCTATTGTCACTGTTTTTATCACTCATACGACTACCGCTAACACCGCTACCCCTACCACTGCACCCTACTCTACCAACACACTGGACCACTCCAGGAGGTACCGGTGCTTTAGTAATGGCTACTACTATTTCCGTACGACACCATGCATGTCCGAGTGCTTTGAAAGGGACAACCACTACTTTCCGCGGGTAATACCCTGTACAACACCCACCCCGAGATATACGAGGAATACAGTCTTTGACATATATAATCACACATATATAATCATATTTTGTACGTTTGTAATGTCATATGTTTTTATAGTTTTTGTGGTATTGATTTATTGGTTGAAAACGGATGAACATAATTTGGACCATAATACAAATCTATCAGCCATGTTAAAAGATTATTTTTAGCTTGCTAAAATATATTTTCAAGTTATGTGTGTTATACAGTATAATTAAAATTGTTATTATACTGTATTTATTATTTTACAGAATATTCTGTTTGAAAACATTAAAACATACATATTATATAAAAATATTATATGAGTGCCGAAAGTGTACAGAAATAATTAATGTGTACACTATAATCAATATATAAATTTATATAGCATGTATTGTTTAATATTCTTCATTAATATATTAAATGGGCTTACAACATAATGCTAAAAATATACTGTAAGGTTATGTGAATTATATTTAAAATATTCATTTATATGTTGTTCATATTTGAAATGAACAATGTATTATATTTTAGTCGAGGTCGAGGTTTTTAATTTTTGATCATGTCGAGTTTAATTGTTCTTTATTCATCTGTGTCGGAACCAATGTCGGACCTCGGTACATGTTCATGTATAGTTATAGTGACTACGAATCATTAGTATTTTATTTATTCGTTTATTAAAAAAAGTTAATTACAAAAATTAAGTGAAATATATTTACAAATTATGTTAGCTATGATATAAAATTTATAAGTATAATTATTATACTGTATTTTTTATTTTACAGGATATTCTGTTCAAAAATATTAAAACCTAAATATTATATATAAATATATGATTGCAAAATTTGAATAAAAATAATTAATATGTACTGTACACTTTATTGAATTTATAATCTATATACATTAAAATGGTGTAAATTAAAATATTAAATTGAATTAGTATATAATACTGAAATTATTAAGGTACATGAATTGTATATAAAATATTGATTTTTATACAGTACATATTTGAAATTAACATTGGATAATATTTTAGTGACAATTTTATATGTTCATTAATTTATTCAATATATCTCAAATTCTGTGTGACATGTGATGACATATTCAGATATTAAACTAAATGATCGTTTTAGATTATTGTGCAAGTTCGTCACTCGTATAAAAGTACCTATAAAATAATACACATTAAAATATGAATTTCATTCAATAGTATTTTTCTTTTAAATTATATTATACTGTACAGATAAAGTAGACAGTTGATTGTCTATTTTACATAATGAGCACGTACTTATTGAATGATTACTATGCCTTTTAAAAAAGTACAAAAAATTAAACATTGTAAATATTAAAGTTGCTCACCTATATTTTCATTATTCTTTTGAATAATAAAAGTTGGGTTGCTTTTGGCAAAAAATTTATAAAAATAATCGCATTTTAGTTTATATATGGTTTCCAATACTTCCCATTCAGTTTCTTTGACAATCGGTTTATTATTCATAAATTGTTGTAATTGTGATAAAATGTGCGAACATTCGGGTCGTTGTCTCCAATCGGTTGAACCGTTTTGTGAATACATATTAACACTCATTGACACCAATAATGTGCTCAAATTCATCATGATATTTTCAATATTTTTATCACAATATTCAATAATTTGAATGCTAAATTAAATAAAATTACATAAATATTATACAACAATGATATAATAGTGCAGGTTCTCTATCAAACTCGTTTATTTAAACACCCAGAAGTATTTTATAATAAATTTGTTTAATTATCCGATTTATTAAAAATATTTACTTAAAACTAAAGCGTAGGCATTAATCATTTATACAATTTGAGAGGCTTGGTATTTAGACACCCTATACTATTTTATCATCATTTTTTCTTTAAGTTATAATGGAAATGTCATATTTTATGCGATATATAATTTAGCCAGATTATATTTATAAAAATACTTGTATCAAATAATAATAACAAAAGTTTTATTATAAATTGTTAATATAATAAAACAACTTATTAATATTTTAGTATAATTATAATTTTAATATTAATAGAAATATAATCTTGATATTACTAGAAATTAAATAAAAAATATAACTTTTTTCTATAATGTAGAAAAAGAATCATAATAAAAAGGTACAGGGTTTCCAAATGCTAAACCATTCAAATTGTATCCATTTTTAGTGACTACGGTTTAGTTTAATTTATATCCCTAAGTTAAACTGTAACTAAAACAGACATAATAACTAAAAAAATTGCTCAACTTAAATATTTCAATTGAATATTTATATAAACGAATTAATTTGCAAAGATTAATTAAATTAAATCATTCCATTAAAGACATACTTTCCGTCAATTAAATCGTATGTATCGAAGCTAAATATTTGAGCCCCAATTATAGATAGACTGTAGATATCTATCAAATGATTGTAATCCTTAGCCTGGGCTTCCGGTGCCATATAGTCTACAGTTCCCACATCTGCCGTGTGTTTAGTTTTAGACATAAGAAACGGATCACAATTTAGGACCTCTTTAGCCAAACCAAAGTCACATAACTTTATGCGTCCGTCCATTGAAATCAACACATTATCCGGTTTGA